AAACCCTACCTAATATATATATACACACACACATATATATATATATATATTTAATAGGCCTTTTTTAACAAATTGAGTTAAAAGTTAGGTAAGTAATTGATCAACTTTATCAAATGATGGATTAATGTTTAACTCATTTTAAAAATTTATTATTGATCTAATTACATTAATTTTAATATAATTAAAATAATACATTTCAAATTCATTAAAATTTATAGAGTTTAAAATATATTGTTATAATTCTATATAAAACTATAGAGTTTCAAATTCATTATAATTTTTTTTTTAAAATGAAATATATATATATATATATATATAACATATATAAAGTAAAATTTTAATTTTTTAGAATATGGGTTTTTTTTAAAAAAAAGTTACCTCTTATATAAACATACGAGATTTCTACTAATTTAAATTTAATGGGTTTTATTTTTCTTCTCTCTGTTGTTATATACATACACACACACACACATGTATATATATATATGTGAGTAAATATTGGTTTAGTTAAATGATTTATATAATTGAAGAAGATGAAGATTGACGAGAGAGACAAGGCTCATGGGTTATGTAGCCATGCACGTGACTCGTGGTGGGATGTCCAGAGAACTTGGAAATATTCTTATAAAATAAAAAAAAATAATAATTTTTATACTTAATTATACAATTTTTTTAATTAATTAATTACTAATTAGTTTATATTTAATGGGTTAATCCGTAAGTAGTTAAACCTTAATTAGAAAAATTAATTTCAAATTCTAACAATTTACAAAGTCATTAGTCACAAATTAATGGGTACGAAATTAAATTGGAAAAAACAAATGTACAGATATCGCATGATCATATCGTCGATAAAAATGCTACATCGGGTTTTTGTCCCGTTGTAATTTTCTTAATTATTAATTAAAAAAACTTAATCGTTATAGAGATATTTATTATATCTTAAAATATTATAATTTATTGAATTACGTTCAATTTAGTTATCTTAATTTACAGATACATTAAATTAATTAAATTATTAATATTATAATATTATAAATTGAAATCGTCAACTTATAATATAATTACAGAATAACAAATTAAACATATTTAATAACGTTTAAACTCGTGAAATTTAAATAAAATCATGAAATCACCGTTTTTGTGGTAATCAAATTTTAATTCTTTTTTAGTCCTAGAAAAAATTTATATATTTTTTATAATTATACACTAAGTCCGATATATTTAACATATATCATTTGTCTAATAAATTATTTAAAATAATTAAATATTAATTACACACTCAAAAGTGTGTGTGCGTGTGTGTTATATTTAAAATAAATTTTTTAAATAATAATTATGCTAATTAAAATATTAATATTGATAATTTTAATTTAATTAATTTATATTAATATTTTCAAACACTAAGACTAAGTCATCGTCTAATTAAATAATAATAATAATAATAATAATAATAATAATAATAAATGTAGATGATAATATCTTGTTTATATGTCCCTGAAGAGGCAACAAAATGAACCCAATGGTTGGCTGGCCACGTGTCATGTTTTGGAAGTTAGGGCGCACCATTGACAGCGTAGACCGCACCTCACATGAACACCAACCCAAACCTTCGTCTGGTCCTAATCACACTCGTTAAGACCTAAGACAGCGTTTGGTAAGGGTTGCCTTTGT